CTAAAGATGCTATTAAGGTATTTTCCCAAAACAAGACAGTTATCACCTCTGAGAGAAACTATGTTTTCCAGCTTTTAATGCCTTTTTATTTGACTTCTTACATAAATAGTAATAAAACAAAATTTGTACCACTTTGTAACCATGATGCATAGCAAGAAACAAGAGAGCATGAGAGTTAAGCCCTCATTTAAGGCCAGACTTTCTGGGTCCAAAATCCTGGCTTTACTCAACAATAAAACAGTAAGTAACACAATTAAAACTGGGCAAAGGATCGGAATAGACATAGCTCTGTGAAAATGTTTCCAAAAATAAAATGGCCAATACATACATTAAAAGAGGCTCAGCATCATTAGTCATAGGAAAAGGTAAATCAAAATGACTGTGAGACACTACTGTCACCCACAGGATGACTCAAACCAATAGACAATAACAAGTATTGACAAGGATGTAGAGAAATTGGAAACCTGTATGGTGTTGGTAGGAATGTAAAATGAAGTAGCATCTTTGGAAAATGGTCCCATAGCTCCTTAAACATGTAAACATAGTGTTAACATGTTATCTAGCAATTCTATCCCTAGGTATATCTCCAAAATAAATGCAAACATGTATCTACACAGACTTGAACACAAATGTTTATAGGTATGACGTCATTATCTTCAGTGAGCCAGCAATTCCCTGGGCCCTCAGTCCCTTGATCTCGTCATCTCCAAGAACCTCCTCCCCTACCTCATCCCTGCCCCTCAGTCTGTCAACACCTGGAACCCCACCACTAACTTCCTACATTCAGACCCCCCACCATCCCATGGCACCTCCTCCTCACCTAGCTCTCTTGTGGTGTGAATACCCACACCATAGTTATGTAGCCCCAGGAGGACCTCCAGAGCACTGTAGCCCTTCCTGCCATCACTTCCTCAAATTATTCAACCGAGATTCCACACTCATCACGTTAGTCATTCTCTTGCCAATAACCCTCAACCTCCTGACCCTCTTGTCTTTCTGCCCCGAGAGCCTGAGAAAACCCCAACTCTCAATGAACGATCCATCTGTCTGCTTTGTGTGGCTGGCTGATGAGAGCTGCTACAGAAAAATCACATTGCCTTGCATGTTGATGCCGTTATAAATACATAGCCACCAGAATCACCCAGGGCCTCCAATTAAACCGTCAATCCTTTTTTTTATTTCCCTAATCACCACTAACCTAATCTCCACAACGATTATTTCACATGTTTGCTACTCTTCTTAAACTTCTTGCCTTTCAATTTCAGCATGTATCCTGGCCTCTTCACACGCATACACACATACAAACAATCTTCAGAAAGAAGATTTTTCAATATTCTGCCACCAGCCTCATAAATCTTTTTGAATTTGTGCTCATCATATGTTTCTCTCTTCCTAAGATAAATTTATCTCCATCTCATCATTTATATTCTCAAAAGCAGTGTATGAGAATTACAGTCGCTCCACATTCTCATCAATACTTGGTATGGTCAGCCTTTTTTATTTTAGCCATTATAGTAGATGCATGGTGGCATTTTATTGTGGTTTTAATCTGCTTACCCCTAATGACTAATGATATTGAGCATTTTTTCTGTGGCTAATTAGCCATCTGTGTATCTTCTTTGGTGATGCACTGTTCAAATCACTTGACAATTTAAAAGATGGAGTTATTTTCTTAATCCTGAGTTGGGGATTAAAAAAAAAATCTGACTACAAATACTTTATCAGGTATGTGATTTGCAAATATTTTCTCCCCATATTTGGTTTCTTTTCATTATCTTTCAAAGAGTAGAAATTCTTAATTTTGATGAAGTTCAACTTACCAATTTGTTCTTCTTTGGATCATGCTTTTGGTGCTGTAAGTGCTACTTCTTGAAGTAACTTGTTAATGCATTCTGTTACACCACAGTCCCCAGATTCCCTCCCGTGCCAGTTATCAATTTGTTGCCTCTCAGCTCCAATTCATCCTTTTTGCCTGCCCTGTGAAAGCAGAAATGGACCCTAGAAATATGTTTTTCTTTGCCGTCTGGCATGATGTTAAACTTGGGTGAGGCATTGCAGGAGGAAAGGGGTTCTCTTGCTAGTTCTGCTGGGCTAGCCCCGCAGGTTTCTGTAGCACTAGACTCTCGTGCGCACACATTCTCTATCGGCAGTGGCTGTTTTATATTATATTGTATTATTTCTATTACATCTGCTATTATATTTTAAAAATATTATATTTTTAGCTGCTCTTTTAATCTTCTTGAGTGTTTTCTTTACTTCTTCCTAGCCCACAGGTGGGCAAACCACGGGCTAAATCCAGCCTACCGCCTGTTTTTGTGAATAGGTTTTACTGGAACATACTCATTCATCTATATATTGTTTAGGGCTGCTTTTACACAGCAACAGCAAAATTGAGCAGCTGCAATAGAGACCAGATGGCCCCCAAAGCCTAAAATATTTTTTTCTGTACAGAAAACATTTAGGGGCGCCTGGGTGGCTCAGTCGGTTGAGCACCCGCCTTCTGCTCAGGTCATGATCCCAGGGTCCTGGGGTCGAGCCCTGCATCAGGCTCCTTGCTCTGCTTCTCCCTCTGCCTGCTGCTCCCCCTGCTTGTGTTCTCTCTCTCTCTGACAAATATATAAAATCTTTAAAAAAATTTTTAATAACACCTATACTAGCCAGTTCCTCATTAGTCCAATCCCATTATGTTTCATCATTCTTTTTTTTTTTTTTAAGATTTTATTTATTTATTTGACAGAGAGAGACACAGCGAGAGAGGGAACACAAGCAGGGGGAGTGGGAGAGGGAGAGGGAGAAGGAGGCTTCCCGCCGAGCAGGGAGCCCGATGCGGGGCTCGATCCCAGGACCCTGGGATCATGACCTGAGCCGAAGGCAGAGGCTTAACCAACTGAGCCACCCAGGTGCCCCATGTTTCATCATTCTTGATATTAAACTATCCCTGTTCAAATTACTGTGTGGCTTCTCTAATCTCATTGGGCCCAGTCTAATGCCTCACCAACCTCTCTGTCCCTTTGTCATTGTCCATTTTCAGGCTCACCTTCCTCTACCTATCCCATAATGTTAGTGCTCCCCAAGACCCTCCTCTCTGCTTTCTGTTATAGCCCCTCTAAGCCACTTGTTTGCTTACTCATCTTCCATTATTGGGTTTAACCGATGGTTTTTTGTTTTTTTTTTTAACCGATGGTTTTTAATTTTAATTTTAATGAATGAAATTGCATGCAAATTTTGTGTGGATGTGCAAAAGCACATACATGTGGGGAGGTCTCCAGCATCCTCTTTGGGCAACATGGCTTAGTAGTCAAGGGCATAGAGCCTGGATATATCCTTCTTAAGTTTGAATCCCAGTTCTACCACAATGGCCCGGGATAATTTATTTAACCTTGCTGTTGCCTCAGTATCCTTGTCTGTAAAATAAAAAAAAAAAATTGTAGTCCTACCTCATAGAATTACTATGGGAATTAAGGTAGTTAATATATACAAAGCACTTGGACAGGGCCTGACACATAATAAGCACCATTTAGGCATTGGCTATAATCGTCATTTCTAGAACTCCCTCTTGCCCCTGTGCCACAGCTAGACCAGTGTTTTCTTATTCTAGTGCCCCTGCTTTCTCTGACTCTCAGATCTCCAGTGGGGTCTTCCCTCTGCTTGGAGCACTCTCGCCTGTATGTTTCCCCACTAACTCCTGACCTTCCCTCAGGCCTCAACTCAAATGTATTTCTTCAGAGAAGCTTTTCCCGATCTCCAGACCAGGAGGAGCTTCATGCTATGACCTCCCAAAACTTTCTTTTCCCTCATAACCCTTATCACAATTTATTCATGGTGATCACGTAAAGTTCCTCCCCAACAGGCCATAAGCTCTGAGAGGGCAGAGGTCATTTCTGCCGGGCTCCCTGCTGCACCTCAGCACAGTGCCAAGGAATAGCATAAACATTCGTCAAATGAATAAGTGAATCAATAAGGGACAAAACACATGAAAGTCTTTTAATAAAGGTGTAAAAACCTATGCATAGATTAGGTACCACAATAATGAGCATATGACAAAATCTGATGATTATTAGATAATCTATCATGAAATCAGTAGAAATTTATATTGTGTGAAGGAAACCTCTTCAATTTCTATAAGATATATTCATTTAAATTGAGCTTGGAACATGTCTTTCAATCAAATGGAAATGAATTATCCAATTACTGACTTGTTACAACATCCCCTATCTCTACCTCTTGGAAACCAGATATTAGCCTCAGATGGCAGAGCTGAAAGGAATAATTGAACAGGGAACCTGCTTGTTCTCAGAGAATTTTCATGGCCTTAACTCAAGACAGGATTACAGACTTTCATGAGTAAGCAAAACCAACTGTGCTAATCTGAGAAATTCAATGCCACCCTGGGAGTTAATGTATCTAATCCAAGTCACCAGGAAAACTGTGTTCTATTATCAATTAACACTCAAACAGCAGGAAAATGATGATAGCATTATAATACAAAATAGACACAATAAAGTGATTCTCCTGGGAATGTCTTCAGGGACGGGTTGCTTACAGTCCCCTGGATGAAGGAATCCTTAAGGAGGAAGGATTCCCCCCTCCCCTCTTCCTTCCCAATTGTCAGACTCCAACCGCTCCTCTCCTGTGTAATCAGCCTCGGAACACTCCCCAGACGCCAATCTTCGATCTCCAGGAGAAAGAATGCGGTAACTGCTTCACTATGATTGGGGAAAACTTAACCAAGATCTGGACTTGGGCACCGGGAGCTAGAGGACTGGGGAGGGTTCACGACAACCCTGGCGGCCAGAGGGCTGTGGGAGAGTTGGACGATCCTAGAAGCCCTGGTAGAGCCTAGATGGCTGGGGATTTGTTGCGTTAACTAGCGCAAGGGTCAACTTGTCTGAGCAGCGCGGGAAGCAGCGCCCTCATGCCCAAGCTGTGGACTACATTTCCCAGACGGCTTTGCTCCCCGGGCTGTCGTACTAAGATTAGGGCGTGCCTGGGAGGAGCAGCACGGTCCGCGAGCACAGCTGGGGCATCTCGCTCAGCTCTTACCTACGGCCACAGCAGCCATCCCACAAGATGATCGGGATCCTCCTGCTCCTGCTCCTGCTCCTCCCCCTTTTCCTGTACATCGCTGCACCCCAAATCAGGTCTGTGCAAATGTATTGCCTTCTTTGAGAAGAATTCAGGAGGACGTTAATCCTCACCGAAGCTCTGTTTCCAAAAGAAGGAAAAGGAAAATCCCTGGGGGGCTCCAAGTAGGTCGAGGCCGGGAGTTCGGTTGGTCGGAGGAGGTCCAGCTCTCCTGGATGCGGGGGGACGAGAGCAAGAGACCCCGGGCGGTGGGAAGGGGCTGTAGTCCGGACCCCCTCACTCTGTTTCTCCCGATCCCTTTTTTCGTCTCAGAAGCCCTTGCTTTCTGCTCCAGAGAACCCCGAGTGCAAGGCTACCTCAGACACTTAAGTTTCCAGCATTGGGAGATTTTAGACCCTGAAATGGGGTGTGGACCTTAAGACTGTTTTCCCCTTAGCTCCCATCCCTTGAACCAGCCCTGTCTAGTTTCTTGCTTCCAGCCTTTGAAGTACAATGGAGCGATTCGACCTTTTGCTCTCAGAAACTGTCCGTCGATGGGAATCGTGCTATCTGCAGACCCGTTGCTTGCTCTCTTGTTGCAGTTAGATTCGCCTTTTTTTCTGGGCGGATGTTGTAGAGGAAAGAAATGAAAGGGTTTCATCATGAGCCGTATCCTGCCTTCAGAGCAGGAGTATCTGGGGACCTGAATCATGCCCAGGGTTTGGGGGTGACGCAGAGAGGATGAAGGGTAGTGGGCTCTTGACCTGGTGACAGATCAGCCAATGGCTGGCTGAGTGCCGCAGAGAATCGGCGGAGAGCTGCACAACGGGCGCCTGCTGATTGGTTCTGAGTAAATCACCCGTAGTGACGGTGAACCAGAGACTGTAGAGACAGAGTCCTTCCCCCGGGGCTGGGGCGGGAGCGTGGTCACCATCCACCCTCGTGCTCCTCTTCTAGTTTTATTTTTCCTCCCTTCTGAACACCTAGTGCTCCCACTCAGATGAGAACGCTTTTTCTCTTTCCACCTCAAGATCCTTTTACCCAAAGAGAATTCCAATGAAAAGTTGAGCCTGCACTGAAAATAGGGCTCACACCTCTGCGAGGTTTTTCCGAGGAAGATTTTACTGCAAGGGTCATATCCCCAACCACCTGGCTAGGTCATGGGAGCTAGCCTAGAGCTGGACTTTTCAGCTGATTCTCTTTCAGTCCTGTTGGTAAGGAGAAGAAAGAACTCAGTAGAGGTCCTGATATGTTGTTGCTCCTGGAGCTAAAACTGAAAGGATGTGAAAAACTGAGCAGGGAGGCTTGTTCTCTGAGGAGGAAGATATCTTTTGGTGAGCACCAGTTTGCTTCCTTATTGGCCTGTGTGCACTAAGCAGATAACTTTAGTGGCTAGGAGTGTGTGCCTTGCAACTCCAGGTTCAATAAAAAAGGCTGAAATGCTCTTTAAAAGGGCATCTCCTGGTCAAGAGATTCTTTTAACTTGAGTCTTGAAATTTGTGGAGAAGAAAAAAGAACAATCCCTGTTTGTGCATTCATTTCTTTGGAAAAGAAAGGTAGTACAGTGCTTAGGAACAAGGACACTAATTAAACCAGGACTTGAAACCCAGCTCCCCTTTATACTGATTTACGTCTTTTCTTTGTCTTACTTTTGATTGTGTGCGTGTGTTTCTGTTTGCTTTATGCCAGCAAGCAAGCTTCCATAATTTTAACTTTTTGTGTTGGATTAGCTGCGTATCAAGACCATAAAGTGCTAGTTGTGGACAGATTGACATAAGTGGACCAGTTCTTGCTTCTTCTAGGCTGAGTCTTATGATTCCCTAAGCCTGTCAAAGAGCTCAAACTGAAGCCAGGTGCCTGGATAATCACATATTTATCCAGTTCTTGTACTGCAGGGGGCAGCACTAAGGTTTGCCCTTATAATAGAATCGCTTTTGTTCTCGAGCAAGAGCAGAAATTTTTTGAGCAAAAAAAAAAAAATCTTGAGCAAGAGCAGAAAATTTTTCTTCAATCTCCCTTAAATCTATAAAAAGACAGCACTAGAAAGAACCAAAGCAAACTTTAGCCTTGGGATCAGAAGACATGGTAGTTACAGGAACCTCTGAGACAAGGAAAATGAAGAACTGATGAGCTCTCCTTCTCCCTACAGGAAAATGCTGTCCAGTGGGGTGTGTACATCAGCCGTCCAACTTCCTGGGAAGGTCGCTGTGGTCACTGGAGCCAACACGGGCATTGGAAAGGAGACAGCCAAAGAACTGGCTCAAAGAGGCAAGCTTACTGCTTCTGATTCCCTCCTACTCCTGCCATTTTATCCCTCACAAGGATGACCATGCTCATTATTTCCTCCCAATCTTGGAATTCAAGAACTTTCCAAGTGTCCCACAGATTCACTGGTCTAAACCTAGTATTAATGCTCTACATATAATGGACACTTAATATTATTGATTTATTTTTCTTTTTTGATTTGTTCATCAAATACCCCTGTCATGAAGTAGGGGTAAAATTCCCATTTAAAAAAAAAAAAAACAACAGTAGAAAATAACATTTATAAGTCTATGGGTCTATAGTGTCCACTCAAAAGCAGAGCTGACAGTGTGTCTCTTTTATATATTGGTTGATAGGAGCCCGCGTGTATTTAGCGTGCCGGGATGTACAAAAGGGGGAATTGGTGGCCAGAGAGATCCAAATTGTGACTGGGAACCAACAGGTGTTAGTGCGGAAACTGGATTTGGCTGATACAAAATCTATTCGAGCCTTTGCTAAAGACTTTTTAGCAGGTAAGTATAGAACTGGAGATTATGTTGTTGGTCTTGCAATTAACATGGCAGACTTAGTTAAAGGAAAAGATCCTTCTCCCTCTTTAATACATAGAAATACTAGATAGGGCACCTCGGTGGCTCAGTCGGTTAAGCATCTGCCTTCGGCTCAGATCATGATCCCAGAGTCCTGGGATCGAGCCCTGCATTGGGCTCCCTGCTCCGCGGGGAGCCTGCTTCTCCCTCTGCCTCTGCCTCTCTGTCTCTCTGTCTTTCATGAATAAATAAATAAAATCTTAAAAAAAAATTAAAGAAATACTAGATAAATTAAAATAAACAACTTTCATTCGTAGCAGAACTCCTTCGTAACAAAGGGGAATCCTCAAGAAGCAGCAACAAAAAATGAGTTTAAAGTCATAGCAGTGCATAAGAACTAAAACCAAAAACCTCACGGGAGTATCAGAACTCAGTATGAGCTTTAGGGTCTGGAGTCTAAATACTCACACGGGCAGAAGATGAGGCCTCAGGCCCTGAGAGGAGGGAGCTGTATCTTAGGCCTCCACATAAGGTTGGGAGTCACAAAAAGTCACCTGGTCCATGGTACAGGGGTTTAAAAAAAAACATAGGCCACCAGCTCCAAGACATGGCAGAGAAGCTTATCTTCTCTTTAGATGGCTAGAGAGTCATCTGCAAGTTATTAGAACCTCAAGTTGGCATCCTCTGTGGGGGAGAATTTATTACATCACCAAATGGTGTAAGAATCTTGAGCTGAGAAGTTAACATAAAACCCTGTAGCGTCACATCATAATCAAACCCGAGAGTATTCCGTAGGCATATCCCCTCATAACACAGGGATCTTGGCCTCCATAGGTAAACAACTTCTACAGATATGAGCTCATAGTTAGAAATTACAAATCACATGAAAAAATCACGAGAAAGAGTTGTCAAATGCAACAAAGAGGTGAAACCAGTATTTCTTTTGGCACCTTTTGGAGTTCTCCAGTGGCAAGGGGTGCATACAGAACAGCCTCTTTGCTCTTGCTTTGGAATCTTCTGATTCAGCTCAGGAAGTCTTTCTATTGGGAGAGGTGAGCAGAACATTTTCCCAAAAGCAGTGAGTGAGTAGCTCCTTAATTGGAAAGATCGGAAAGGCCATTTGGTTGTATAAGATGGAATTTTGCTCTGTAGTAAGTATGTAGGATTCAACTAAAGTCTTAGACAATGAAAAACAATACAAAATACATATGAAGGGGAAATGGAGGAAAGATTAAAGTCCTGCATCCCCATTTTCAAAGCCTGGGTGTAAGGCAGTTTTCTCCGATATAACTGCTGTGGCTGGCTGCTTCCACACCACATCTCTTCCCTGCAGAGGAGAAGCATCTTCACATTCTGATCAACAATGCGGGAGTGATGATGTGTCCCTACTCTAAGACAGCAGATGGCTTTGAGATGCACATGGGAGTCAACCACTTGGGTAAGAAATTTGGTCTCATCCCCAAACTAGAGGAAGCCTAAAATTCTCCTTGGAAAACTCAGGGGTCAGACTGAGCCAGCCGCCTCTGGGCCCTAATAGACCATAAGTGAATAGTAAATACTATGGTCCTGCCTGAAAGCTCAGAGATAAACTTAGGCCCACTCAAGCTTCCACCTGCTTTTTAATTTGCAATCCAGATTCAGTTTACCTTGGGGCATTTTTGAACAGCCTAATTGGACTGGGGACTGTGGTGCTTTCTTTGTGGTGATCCTCATGACCAGCATCAGGTAGAGGCTGCCTGTTCTTTCCAATTTTAGTATATGTGCTGCCGAAGCGAGCACGAGGCTGCCTGTTCTTAAAGAGTGATATTAATCAAAGTTGGAAGGAGACAAGACTTCATAGTCACATGATCCAGACCTCCCTCATGGAAGGATGGCTGTCCTATTTCCCCAAACCCTCCCTGAGCTTGTTCTGTAGTTGATAATGAATTAATGAGGCAAACAGCCTTGTTCCTGAGTTCTCTGCAGGGCTCACCATGACTCCCTTCATCCTGGCATTGGCCCTGAACTCTGTTAATTCTAGTTTTTCTCACAGGTCACTTTCTCCTGACCCATCTGCTGCTAGACAAACTGAAGGAATCAGCCCCATCAAGGGTAGTGAATGTGTCTTCTCTAGCACATCACCTGGGAAGGATCCACTTCCATAACCTACAGGGCGAGAAATTCTACAATGCAGGTCTGGCCTACTGTCACAGCAAGTTAGCCAACATTCTCTTCACCCAGGAACTGGCTCGGAGGCTCAAAGGTAGGCTTAGAAGAAGTAAGTATAGAGTTATGAGTCAATGGGAAGTAGCGAAAAGCCACAGGAATACATACTGTTTTCTGGAGCCCATCCCCTGGACAAACCTGCTGCCATGACTATAACTGGGTATTATTTTAGTAAATATTCCACAGCTGAATATTGGACGTGGCTGGCAGGAGATGGGGACATTCTGACTTTGAGTCATAAGGCTTGGCTTTAGCACTTACTAGCTGTGTGACCTGCAGCAAGATACTTAACTTTTCAGACTTATTTCCTCATAAGTAAAATGGGACTACTTTATAGGTTATTATCCTCATTAAATCAGGCCTCATGAACAAGCAAGGTTTTTTACTCATAGTGAGACTAGCTAGAAGGGAAGGACCTGGGGGTGCCTGGGTGGCTCAGTCGGTTAAGCCTCTGGCTCTTGGTTTCTGCTCAGGTCATGATCTCAGGGTTGTGAGATCAAGCCCAAGTTCAGGCTGTGGGCCCAGTGCAGAGATTCTGTCTGAGATTCTCTCCATCCCTCTCCCTCTGTCCCTTTTGTGCATGTGCTCTCTTTCTCTCAAATAAATAAAATCCTTTTTTTTTTTTTTTAAGATTTTTTTATTTATTTGACAGAGAGAAACACAGCGAGAGAGGGAACACAAGCAGGGGGAGTGGGAGCGGGAGAAGCAGGCTTCCTGCAGAGCAGGGAGCCTGATGCGGGGCTCGATCCCAGGACTCTGGGATCATGATCTGAGCTGAAGGCAGATACTTAATGACTGAGCAACCCAGGCACCCCTAAATAAAATCTTTAAAAAAAAGTGGGGGGAGGGACCTGAACTGGCACTAGATACAACCATGAGGATAAAACAGGCACTGGGACTATGGTGGTGGTGGTGGGGAGGGGGAGTGTCTCCCTAACAGCAGAAGGTTAAATAAGTGAGAAATGTATGCTCGAAGACGGGAGTCTCCAATCACAAATACACAGAGGTCCTTAGCACTCTCTACTCTGAATTTTCGATAAAAAGAGGGGTAATCCAGGGTGGACAACTGGAGTTGCTTAGCAGTTGAGGCAGACAGAATTTTGGCTCAAGGAATCAGACATAAGAGCCCCACCATTGGAACAGGATCATCAAACTACATGGAAATTAAATGGGTTACAGAGTGGGTGGGATGAGGCATCTGAGGATGTTAAGGAACATTCCAGGCAGACGGAAGAGAATGCACAAAGGTCTGGGCTCGGTTTGAGTAATTGAGAGGCTGCTATGATTAAAATGTAGAAAGCAAGAGGAATAGAGGTCTGAGCTGAGACGGTGAGGTAGACAGAGGCAAAACCCTTAGAGGCTATGGTAAGGATTTTAGTGGAAGAGCAGTGGAGAACCTTTAAAATGAAAGCCTTTTTAAAATGGGGGCAGAAGTGTGTGCAGCAGGTGATTTCTGTAGTCTAGGTGAGAAATGAGGGTGGCCTGGACTAGAGTGGTGGAGATGGAGGGTAGTGGACACTTCTAAGAGATATTTAGGATGAGAAACCCCCAGGGCTTGTTGATGGATATGCATGGTAAGGTGAGGAATTGTCAAGTACTGCTCTGTGTGCCTGCCTGATTGGGAGTTAGGGAACACTGCAAGATCCAGGTTTGGCCTTGAAAGTGTGAAGTTAGTTTTGGACCTCTGTGTCAGCATTACTACGGGTCATCTAGAGTAGATTTCAAGGGACACCTGGGTGGCTCAGTCGGTTAAGCGTCTGCCTTCTGCTCAGGTCATGATCCTAGGGTCCTGGGATCAAGCCCCATGTTGGGCTCCCCGCTCAGCAGGGAGTCTGCTTCTCCATCTCCCTCTACCCGTCCCGCCTCCCCCCGCCTTGCTTGTGTGCAAGTGCGCGCTCTCTCTCTCTCTTGCTCACTCTCTCTCAAGTAAATAAATAAAATCTTAAAAAAAAAATAGAGTAGATGCCAAGTTGGAAATAATATATGTCCATTGTCCTTTATCTGCAATCATGAAATCTACAAAGACCTGAAAATTCAATTTTTTCAGAACCTTGACACCAAAGCTCATTTGGCAGCAAAACCTCCCTTGTACTAGGGAGATTAGGTAATAAGCAGTTTATATATGTTGTGTCATATTATCTTTCTAAAATCAGTAAAAATTTGGAAACCTCTCTGGCCGCAAGGTTCTAGTAAAGAACCAGGGACCTGACCTAGCATATGCAGAGTGTCATAGTGTCATTTAGCACTTACCATGTACCAGAGACTATCGAGGCTCTCGTACATATGAACTCATTTAATCCTCAGAACCACCTTGTGAGGTGCAGGTATTAGGATTATCCCCATTTTAAGAGGAAACTGAGTCACAGCATCGAGCTTGCCCAGGGTCACAGGGCTCGTGAGTGGTATAGCTAGGATTTGAAAGTGGGCAGTCTGACCACAGAGTCCGTGCCCTTAGCCACTCAGAGTCAGCCAAGAGTTCCAAGGAGTACAATGTGTATAAAAATGTGCATGCCATATAGTTACAGAGAGGGAGTTTAGCAAGCCATGGGAACGCCAGCATTTGAAGTTTGGGTAGAAGATGAGGGACTGGTCCACGAAACTGAGAGGAAGCAACAAGAAAGGTTTGGAAAACCAGGAGTGTGGGGTCATGGAAGCCAATAAAAAGGCAGCTTTGAGGAAGGAGTGGTCCCTAGAGTTAAGTGCTGCTGAGAGGTTGAGTCCCGGCTCTACTGTTTCCAAACAGGTTTTTTTTTTTTTTTTTTTGAAGATTTTATTTATTTATTTGACACAGAGAGACACAGCGAGAGAGGGAACACAAGCAGGGGGAGTGGGAGAGGGAGAAGCAGGCTTTCCGCTGAGCAGGGAGCCCGATGCGGGGCTCGATCCCAGGACCCTGGGATCATGACCTGAGCCGAAGGCAGACGCTCAATGACTGAGCCACCCAGGCGCCCCTCCAAGCAGTTAATAACCTCTTTGAGCTTTAATCCTAACCTATGAAATGGGGAGGTGTAAATTACTGTGAGGAGTGTTGTGGGAAGGGGGTCTTCCTGGGGCGGGATGTTTATTCATGTCCTCTGCTCTCCTTGGCTATCCAGCAACATTAAGTCCTGCCTTCCTTTCCCCATGGGGCACCCCCAATTAGGCTCTGGCGTTACGACATATTCTGTCCATCCGGGCACAGTCAACTCTGAACTGGTTCGGCACTCATCCTTCATGAAGTGGATGTGGTGGCTTTTCTCCTTCTTCATCAAGACCCCTCAGCAGGGAGCGCAGACCAGCCTGTATTGTGCGCTCACCGAAGGTCTTGAGATTCTCAGTGGGCATCATTTCAGGTACAAATGCATCTGGTTTTGAAGATGGGGTTTTTATGGCTCAAAGGAAATAATCTGGATTTGTCTGGTATATTATACTCCTCTTACAAAGTACATTGCGTGACCTAGCTTTTGTCTTTTGACTAGTGTTTTTACCTTGTAATAAGGGGGTTGACTCACTCACATTTTTCATGGTACTGCGAGGTTTGATTTTCTCCATGGCTATCTTTTATTATGCTTTCTGGTTGTTTCTTTTCTTTCTACCTTTTGTTATGTCCGTCTAGTTTTCTTTGTTCCCTTTTGGACTCTTGTTTTTTGTTTTTTTTGTTTTTTACATGAAAAATAATTTGAATCTGTATTTCTCTATTGTCTTCGGGACTAAAATAGTATCGATTGACTCCCTTCGTGAATAAGTGAAGACTTTTAAAATTGTTTATTGTAGAGAACTTTGAATATGTACAGTAATAGATAAAATAACATGTTGAACCCCCATATGCCCATAATAAACAACCATCAAGCCATCCCCATGCACCAGCCCTTCCCATATTTTTTTTCCCTCTCCTATTATTCTGAAGCAAATCTCAGACATCACATAATATTGAAATGTTAGCATGTTTTTACCCCCCACCTTCAAGATTATGTGGAAATAACTTGAAATTTTAGAGAAAGGGCTGTAAATAAATTAAAATTGGAAAGAAAGGTAGACAGATCATGAAAGGCCCATAACTCCAGGCTTGTGAGGAGCCACAGAAGTTGTTCCAGTAGAGAGAGAAATAATCTGCTCTGTGCTTCAGAGAAACATCCCTGGTGACTTGGTTTGATGAACAAATAAATAACCCAAGCGAGAGAATGAGTTTCTGATTTAGGGTAATGACAGTTGGAATACAAAGAAGGGTTAAGTGAGAGACGTCCTGAAGAGGCAGAATTGTTACAGCTTGATGACTAAATGAGTGAGGGGTCTGGGAGGAGTTAGTGACCTGGGGTCAAGCCTGACTTACTAGGAGATTGATTATGACATTAACTGAGACAGCAGACATGGAAAAATCATGTGTATAGCTTAGGGTTCTTTGATTCCAAAGCAGGGAAACAGACTCATGCTAACTTAAGCAAGAAGGGAATTTATGAAAATATGGGGGAATTCTTCTAAAAACCAAAGAGAAGACTGAAGAGCCAGGCTTAGAACAGACAGAGTGGCCAGTCAGCTGCTGCTGGAATGAGTATCCGCCAACTGTCTTCAGTCTTTGTTTTGTTGCTCACCATTCGCCCTCTAGCAAGGAAGCACTAGATCTTCCATCCTGTCATTCTCACTCTCTTGGTTAGGGGAAGACAGACACTTGATTAATGGGGTCTTCAAAGTGTGGGAAAGAGGTAATTCCTCAGAAAGGGATCAGGTTGCTGTTGCCAAAAGAATGTGGAATGGAGGCACCTGGGTGACTCAGTCGGTTAAGCATCTGACTCTTGATCTCAGCTCAGTCTTAATCCCAGGGTTGTGAGATTGAGCCCTGGATTGGGCTCCACACTGGGTGTGGACACTGCTTGAGACTCTCTCTTTCCCCCCCTCCCTCTGCCCCTTCCTCCCCTTAAAAAAATGTGGAATGGATCAGGTGCCCACTGTGTAATAAACCTGGCTCTGTCCATGTTGAGTGTGTTATCCATAAGACTCCATGTGAGTAGAAGTGTATAGCAGGGAGTTGGAAATGTGGGTCTGAAATCCAGGAAGATAAGTTTACATAGTTTTATGTACTAGAATGATTTTCCATGGGTGACTGGATTCTCCTTCCCTGGAGATTTTAAGGTTTTGACTAGTAGTTTAAAGAAAGTCAGCCCCGGGGCACCTGGGTGGCTCAGTCGTTAAGCGTCTGCCTTGGGCTCAGGTCATGATCCAAAGTCCTGGGATCGAGCTCCGCTTCGGGCTCCCTGCTCAGCGGGAAGCCTGCTTCTCCCTCTCCCGCTCCCCCTGCTTGTGTTCCCTCTCTCACTGTGTCTCTCTCTCTCTGTCAAATCAATCAATCAATCAATCAATCTTAAAAAAAAAAGGAAAGTCAGCCTCAAATCCATGACATAGTAATTATTTAATTGACTTTTGAAGAGCCTTTCCAGTGCCATGGATTCTTAATTTTAAGCATTTTGAAGATCCAACATCAGCTATGTTGACCACTATCAGGAAATGAGCATAAGTCTGTCTTGACTGAAGCATTAGAAACCTTGTGCTGCTTATTATTCCTGACTGAAACCACAAACCTACTTTTTGTCTCTATGGATCTGTCTGTACTGGGCATTTCCTATCAATGGAATCATATAATATGTGGCCTTTTGTGACTGGCTTCTTGTTTACTTAGCATAATGTGTTCACTGTCATCCATGCCAGAGCGTGTATCAGTAAGTTATTCCTTTTAATTGCCAAATACTACTTCATTTTATGGGTATACCACATTTTATTTATGCATTCATCAGTTGATGGGCATTTGAGTTATCACTTTTTGGTGATATGATGCTGTGATACTCATGTACAGATTTTTATATGGAGATTTCTCTTGGTTTATATACTTAGAAATGGAATCCCACTGAAATATGGGTTATATGTCAGCTCCGTGTTTAACTGTTGAGGAACTGTCAGACTGTTTTCCCAAGTGGCTGCACCATTTCATGTTGCCACCAGTGGTAGACAAGGGTCCCAATCTCTCCACGCCCTTGCTTACACTTCTTATTGTCTGTCCTTTTGATTTTAGCCATCCTGGTAAGCATGAAGTAATTTTTCTGCTTACGTTTTTCTAGTTTTTCTCATTATGGTTTTCATTTGCATTTTCTTGCTAATGATGTTAAGCATCTTTTCATGCACTTATTGTCCATTTGTTTATCTTTGTTGGAGAAATGTCTATTCAAATCCTTTGCCCATTTTTAAAATGGATCATTGTCTTTTTGTTGTTTAATTGTAACAGTTCTTTAGATAGTCTGGATCAAGTCCCTTATCAGATGTGTGATTTACAAATATTTTCTCCCATTCTTTGGCTTGTCTTTTCACTTTCTTTATGGTGTCTTTTGAAGCAGAGAAGTTTTGATGAAGTCTAACTTACCAATTTTTTCTTTTGTCACTGTGCTTTTGGTGTCATATCTAAGAAACCATTGCCTAACCGAAGGTCATGAAGATTTACTACTGTGTTTTCTTATAACAATTTTATAATTTGAACATTACATTTTGGTCTATGATTCATTTTGAATTAATTTTTATATATGGCATGAGGTAGGGATACCTCTTCATTTTTGCATGTGGATATCCAGTTGTCCCAGAACTGTTTGTTGAAAAAATTATTCTTTCCATTGAATTTTATTGGTAGCTATATTAAAATTCCTTGGGCTGGGGCACCTGGGTGGCTCAGTTGAGTGTCCAACTCTTGATCTTGGCTCAGGTCTTGATCTCAGGGCTGTGAGTTCAAGCCCCACATTGGGCTCCATGCTGGGCATGGAGCCTACTTAAAAAAAAAAAAAAATTCCTTAGGCTGCCAAAACAGAATACCAGAAATTAATTTTCTCAGTTCTGGAGAATGGGAGTTAAGATCAAGGTGCCAGCAGGGTTGGTTTCTGATGAGGCCTCTGTCTTGGCTTATAGAGGGCTGCCTTCTTGCTGTGTCCTCAGATGGGTTTCCCTCTATGTGGGCACACTCCTGGTGTCTTCTCTTCTTATAAGGACACTAGACCTATTGAATTAGGGCCCTACCTTTATGACCTTACTTAACCTTAATTATCTCCTTAAAAGCCTGATCTCCAACTATAGTCACATTATAGATTCAACATACAGACTTTGGGGAACGTGATTCAGTCCATAACAGATTTATCAAAAATCAATTGACCATAAAGGTAAGGGTACCTCTACACTTTTAGTTCTGTTCTATGCATTTATATGTCTATCCTTATGCCAGTAGCATGGTGTCTTGATTACTATGGCTTTGTAGTAAGTTTTGAAATTGGTCTTTTTATGTATACTGGTTGATACTTCCCAAAATCCAACTGGGACTATCAGCACCATGACTGCTGATGCCATAACCACATGTAAGTAGCTTTTACTGTGGTATTCGAATACATTTTACAGCATGTCATAGCTTATGATGCAAGGCACTTTCATGTCCATTGTGTCATTTGCTATTCATCGTAATCTTGCAAAGAACATAAGGCATAATGCTGTAAAGGCTACAGAGGCTTACAGAGGCCAACTCATTTCTAGAGTCTTACGGAGCCTTTGGTTCTCAGTGATGGTCTTTTTACTCAGCAGTGGCAGGTTGTGCTGCTCATGCTGGTAAGTTCCCTTAAACAGAAGTACTATACTTACCAGTCTTGTTTTGTAATTGCAAAGATATCTTTAAGTGGTGTTTCTCAAACTTTGGTGCATTTTAGAACCATCTGAGGAAGTGGTTGAAGACAGATTCCTGGACCTCTACCCTAGAGATTCTGATTCAGCAGGTTCAGATGGGGCCTGAGAATTGGCATTTCTTTATTTTTTCTTTAAAGATTTTATTTATTTATTTGACAGAGAGAGACACAGCGAGAGAGAGAACACAAGCAGGGGGAGAGGGAGAGGGAGAAGCAGGCTTCCCGC